TCAAGACCATTGCAATGGTCCATCTGGCTCAGCACTGTCTACACTGGCTGGCAGCAGCTCTCAGATAGGGGAGTCTTCCTTCCCCAGTGTTACCTGAGGATGCCAGGAATAGAGCCTGGAACCCCCTGCATGCAAACCAGCTGCTCGGCCACTAAGCTAAGTCCTTATTCCCATAAAATTAAAGAAAGATTCTAGTCCTCAAAAGACTGGGCTGAGTTAACTGGAACACAGAACCCAAGACATTTGTAGGTTCTCCAAGTCCTTCCTACAAAAAAAAAATAAAGTTAAATCCATGTGCTCCTAAGCCTGTGCTGAAGTGAAATAGGTGCACGAAACCTAGGACATTTTGCACACAAAGCAGATCCTCTGGGCCTGAAATGCCTCCCTTTCCCCCATAAACAAAACCTCTTAACAGCATTACAAAGGAAAGGAAAGATGCTGGAAGGAGAGAGACAGATTGCAGGAGTCATTAGGGCGTGAGCATCTTAAGCATCTCCTCCAGGAAAACCACTTAAGACGGGCCATGAGTAAATGAGAGCTCCTCCTTCTGAGCCAGCAGGAACTGGAGGGGCTCTCCATGAGAGCATCCTCTGACAAGCTCTTTTTCCTCCCTCCTCCCCCTCTATCTCTCCCCCCCCCCCCTGTTTATTTCCGGTCTTCTGCATCGCATGACCACCTCTAAAAATAGACAGAAGCGCAAGGCAGCTCTCTCCTCCGGGAGATGTGGAGTGAAAGTCAGGAAGACGGGTGGAAAGGGGGGCAGAGAAGGAGCTGCCTTCTACCAAATCAGACCCTTCAGTCCATCCACCTAGCTCAGTGTTACTCACACTGGTTGGCAGCAGTGGCTCTCCAGGGTTTCTTGCAGGGATTTTTCTCTCCTAACCTTACCTGGAAATGCTGTTGGGGACTGAAGCTAGGACCTTCTGAATGCAAAGCAGATTCTTTTGGCACTCCCCTCTAAAAACACATCAAGATTCAAGTCCTCATGGTTCTAAATAAGGAGCTGGTTTAAATAGGAAGTTAAGAAGCTGCCATAAATGGAGTCAATATTATTGGTCCATCTAGCTCAGTATTGTCTACACTGACTGGCAGTAGCTGTCCAGGGTTTCAGGCAAGGGGCCTTCCTGGAGATGCTGCCAGGGATTGAATCTGGGACCTTCTGGATGAGGAGCAGATGCTCCACTACTGAGCTACAGCCCTTCAAAGGAGGTCTGAGCACATCCAGGTGGCTGAGCATCACAAGATCCACCCAGAGATGAGCAGGCTGTCTCTTGGAGGAGTTTTCCAACTCTTTCTGAACCCCAGTTAGATAGATAGATAGATAGATAGATAGATAGGTAGATAGATAGATAGATAGATAGACAGACAGACAGATAGATAGACAGATAATCTCCTGGAGGGGAGCTGGAATAAATAACACAACAACAACAGTGACCAGCAGGTGGTGGCAAGTTTCCTGATCAATCCTTCTTTCCTTGCCCCCCTCTGCACCAGTCCCCCCTCCCCACTGCATGCATGTGCAATGCAGAGCCAGCCCAGCCAAGCCAAGCCAAGCCAAACCAAGCCAAGCCAGCAACAGGTGTCAGTCTTAGTCAAGCTTGTGCTATTTTTATCCACAGGGCTTATCTCCTTGTCGTGGGAAGGCTTTTTTTGATGTAATCTTCCATCCTCTCTCTCTCTCTCTCTCTCTCTCTCTCTCTCTCACACACACACACACACACACACACACACACACACACATACACCGGCCACCCAGTCTCTCTCTCTCTCTCAAGAAGGAAAACAAACTGCTGCAGCTGCTGCTGCACAGGAGGAAGTAAGGGCCTGGGCTTGAAAGACACTCTGATATCCAACCAGAGAAAACTGGAGCTAAAACTGAAAAACTCGCTGCCGCAGGAGGCAGCAATGACCAACCACTTGGACGGCTTTAACAGAGGATGGACAAATACATGGAGAAGGAGGAGGGGCCTACTGATAGCTAGCAGCCATGATGGCTGTGATCTGCCTCCACAGTTGGAGGCAGCAATGCTTCTGGACACCACTTGCTGCAAACCGCAGGAGATTGCTGTAGGGCTCAGGCATTGCTTGCCGATTGAGGCTCCAACTTGAGCAGAAGATTGTGGGGTGGCGGCGGCAGCGATGACACGCACATGACATGTGCATGACGCAGTGGTGAGCCAGGGGGCTGAACGTGGCAGCAGCAGACGTGGCAGGAAGAGGAGGAGCCACCAGCCACGGAAACTGCACCACACTCAGCTCCACATTCGGCCTCCTCTGCAAATGACTGTTCTCAACATTCTCCATAATATTTTATGAGATGGGGAGAAGGGACCTGGGCCTCTTATAGTTGGTGCCTATGCTTGCAGACTTCCCATGCAGGCATCTGGTTGGCCACTGTGAGAGCAGGAGGGTGGACTAGATGGGCCACTGGTCTGGATGAGGGGCTGGATGGATCCCCCTATGCAGGGATGTTTTGACCTTTCGAGTCTGGCTTTGGGCCGGGGGGAGTTCGGAGTTGTGGGGGCCCTTAACTTTGGAGGGATTTTGAAACATGCCTTTAAATATTATATGGATTTCAGTGTTGACTATGGAAAAGGGGCTGACTTGTCGAGAAGGGACAAAGATATTGTCAAGTTGGAGTCTCCCCGAGTGAAAGGAAGGAAATTAAGAATAAGATCAGCAGAAGACAAAGTAAAGTACAGCTACAAACATGAAGAAGACCTGCGGAAGGGACGTGGAAAAGACTTAAGAGCCTCGGATATAAGGTCACCAGGTTGATGGACTAGATGGATGGGATAGAAAGGACTGACAAAACCCGAGACCAGGAAGAAGAGACGATGGATGAAGATTGGAAGAAAGTTTTAAAAATTTATTTAGAAAATTATCGTAAAATTAATGAGTATTAGAAAAATGTTGGAATGAAATTATTCGGCTTTAGCAGAAATGTTAAAAAGAATTATGTAAGAATATGTTATGGTTAAAAGAATTTGGTATAAATAAGATTTAAGTTTTAAGCTTTAAGGTTTTTTATGGTAAAATAAGGTTAAAATAGATTAAGGTAATTTAATGACAGAATATTGTGAAAGATGGAAAGGATTTGCTGAGATAATTAACAACTAGAATACAAAAAAGGGAGGTGCGAGGAGGTCGATGAAATAAGATAATGAAAGTTAAGGATTTGGGAATATTGGATATGTTTTTAAATTTTTTGTTTATTTTTGCTTTTTGCTTTTGATGTATTGTGTGCTTTGTTTGCTCTTTTTGACTTTGGTTTTTATTGATTTGTATTGTTTAATTGTTATTTTTATCTACCTTTTTCTTTCTTTTTTCTCTTTCTCTTGTTTTTTCCTTCTTTTTTCCTTGTAATTTTAAAATTCTCAATAAATATCATTTTAAAAAAATAAATGGGCCACTGGTCTGATCCAGCAGGACTCTTTTTGTATTCAGAAGCATTAGCACTTCTGATATTGAAGCGAGTATACAGCCAGCATGACTTGTAGCCACTGACAAGACTTGTCCTTCATGAATCTGTCTGGTTGGTACCCAACTGTCTTGGGAGACAATGGAGAAGTGAGCCCTTTGAGTGAAGTTAAACTGCTGGAAGGTTACAGCACCTGATGTGGCTGCAGAGACCAATACAGGAGAGACGTCTTGTTACCAGTCACCACCGTGGCAAATTCCTACGTGTTATGTTTGCTTAGGAATACAGCTAGCTAGCTCAGTATGGTTGACACTAATGGGCAGCGGCTCTCCAGGGTTTCAGGAAGTGGGCATTCCTCAGTTTTACCAGGAGACAGCAGGGATTGAACCTGGAGTCTTCAGAATACAAAGCAGGTACTCAGCCACTAAGCTGTGGCCCTTTCCTTTAAAATACAAGTAAGATTCTGATCCTTGTGGCTCTGAATAAAGGACTGAACTAAGTGGAACATTGGATGGTGCTCTGCCACTCGGGCAGAGCCCTTGCTTCCCTTCCGCTGTCCTGAATCTACCTATCCCCACCATCACATTGGCTGCCACCTGCTTCCCAGAGTCCCCACCACCAGGTGACTCACCTGAGGGCTGCTGGTTCCATACGCAAGGCCAGGGGTGGAGGGTCCAGACATGGGGTGAGCCCCCATTGGGGAGCTGATGACTGAGAACGGTGGCCCCATGCCGTTGATGGGTGAGTTGAGGGTGCTGATGGGTGAGTGGAGCTGGCCAGGGGACCCCAAAGCCCCACCAATGCCAGTGCTCATCGACGGATGGAGAGAAGGTGCAGTCATAGGCCCTCCTCTGCTGTTCGGAGAGCTTAAGGAGGTGGAATTGACTGGGCTGGAGAAATCTGTGAAGAGAAAAAGGAAAAAATATACACTGTCAGTTGAAAAATAGACCAGGGGATGTATTGCATATCCGTACTAAATAGGCCAAATCTCTCTCTCTAAAAAAGAAGAAAGTATACAGCTATTATTTCACTGCAGGGAGTTGCAATAGATGACTCACAGGGTCCTGTCGAACTCTACACTACTGTGTTTCATTCATTCACAAACACACCACACACCCCTTTCTGGGGAAAATACTGAAAGCACTAACAGACAAGCAAGAAATTAAGTGATTAGATTTATTTGTGTATTTATTTACTTCAAAAAAATTACGTACCGCTTGATTGTATAAAACCTCAAAGCAGTTTACAAAATAAAAAAATGCACACACACTTCAACCTAAATTTATTTATTTCATTTAATCCAATGAGTTACAAGAAGCATAGCAAGTGCTCTACCCAGTTTGCTATGGCCCTTCTCCTAAAAACAAAGTAAGATTCTAGTCCTCATAATCCTGAACAAAGGCTTGAATTAAACAGGAACAAAGGAAGCTACCTTACACTGAGTCAGACCACCAGAACATCTTGCTCAGTATTGTCTATGCTGACTTGCACCAGCAGCTCTCTGGGGTTTCAGACAGAATCATAGAATTGGAAGAGACAATATCTAGTCCTACCCTCCTGTGATGCAGGGATATGCAGCTGTCCCTTAAGGGGATTGAACCTGCAACCTTGGCATTCTCAGCACCACTCTCTAACCAACTGAGCTATCCAGGCTGGCAGGGGTTCCCAGCCCTACCTGGAGATGCCACTGAGGACTGAACCTGGGACCTTCTGCATGCAAAGCTGATGCTCTGCGGCCCCCTGTAAATCAAGTCAGATTCTAGTCCATGTGGTTCTGAATAGGAGGCCAAATTGAACAGGAACACAGGAAGCTGCTATAGCCCAAGCCAGACCACTGGTCCATCTACCTTGGCATTCTCTACACTGACAGGCAGCGGCTGTTTAGGGAACACTCCCTTGGGCTGAAAAAGACTCCACACCCATGCTTTCAATGTACCCACCAATGTACACCCCAAGTTGTTGTTTTTTAAATGAATGTGACAAGCATATGCATACATTATTTATTTGTTGATTTATTGAAATGTCGAACCCGCCCTTCAAGCGAGTAAATTTCAAGGGCAGCTTACCAAAAATAAAAACAGAAGCACATGCAGGGTTTTATTCCAGGGGGTGGGATGGGGGGCTGGGCAAGAGAGGTTGTCAGTCTTCCCCAAGGGTACATTATGCTGCCAATCCAGGCTTGACAGGACAAGACATGGGAAATCATTTATTTAAAAGATGTAGATGCTGCCACTTTGTGAAGCTTGAAAAGAATTAAAAAGAACCACCAGCATGCACCTCCTCTGTAAAAAGACGCTCTGGAGCACCAGAGTTTGGGAAGCGAATCCCTTAGCCCTCGGAGTGATCACAGGTTAGGAACCAAGGATGCTGCCTCAGACCAACACAGACCATTGGCTAAACCACCTTGAATTGAAGCTACACACGATCGTAAGGAGGGCCTGCTGGATCAGACCCATTGCCCATTTAGTCCAGCATCCTGTTCTCACATCGGCCAACCAGGTGCCCATTCTGGGAAACCTGCAATTTGGACCTGAGCACAAGAACACTCTCCCTTCCTGAAGTTTCCAGAAACTGGTATTTAGAAGCATTTTTGCTTCTGACTCTGGAGGAAGAGCATAGCAATTGTGGCTAATAGCCATTGATAGCCTTAGCCCTCCATGAATTTGTCCAGTCCTCTTTCAAAGCTATCTAGGGTGGTGATAATCACTGCCTCCTGCAGGAGAAAGTTCCATAGTTTATGCACCGCATGAATAAAGGACTTTCTGTCCTGAATTTACCAACATTCAGCTTCATCGGATGCCCAGGATTTATAGCCTCATGAGAGGCGGGGTGGGAAACTATCCACTTTCTCTATTCCATACACAATGTTATAAAATTCTACGATCAAACCTGTCAGTGCAACCTCTGCAACTCTCCAAAATGCTTTTAAAAGCAACTATGAGTTTACTGGTTTTGACACCAGAGAAACATATTAGCAGAGCATATCATTCTCCCTGTAAATTGCATCTATTTCCTTCCACGTTAAGTGATCTTTATGCATTTCTAAACTTTGGTATATTTCCATTATGCTTAAAAATCTGAGCTAAATCTATTCAAAATTTGCTGAGTGATTGCAGTGGGTGGAAGGCAAAACCAGACTGTATGCATGCAATTCAGGCCTAGGCCTACAGGCCGCCTAGAGCTCAGGAGCTTCATCTGAATAATAAAAGACGGAGGGAATTCTAAAACCCTCCAATGACATTGTTAGTAGCTGGCAGGCAGCCAATCCCTGCTGAGATAGGGCCAGTGTTCTGATTCGCTTATTATAGCATTAAGGTGACCTATCACAGGCGGTGTGTGTGTTTTGCCTGGGCCAGCTTATGGTATATATACTGGGCCAAGGGCCCCAGTTTGTCATTCTTGTTCTTGTTCCTGATGTTCCAATAAATCCTTTTTGAGCTGAATCTCCATATTGGGTCATGCCTGAACCCACCTACACTTCAGAAGGGATCCATCCTCCTCACCTGGCAAGGTCCAGACAATACCCTCATTCTTCTAACTCAGTAACTTCTATGTGCCAGGAGGCAGAAAGAAATTAAATAAGATCTTGGAAGCTAAATTCATCCACCCACCCCATAGGTGGTTCCCTGCCACATCTCTGCATGATTCCCTGATCTGTTTCTGCCTTCTTCCAACCTGTGGCCAAATGGGATATAATTAGATCATTTGCATGCTCTTTATGGAAAGACACTGATGAGCAGCCACCTGCTTAGAGGAAGTTGTTGGCCAAGTCTCTGCATGAGTCACTACGCTGTGCTTGCCTCCTCTAAGTCATACTAAGTACAGTAATTCATGCAGACACTGTTTTGAGATAGATCAGTCCTTTCAGAAAGGGGTCCTTTCGTCATCTGAAAAGGTAAACCTTTCCTCAGCTGTTAGAGCAAAGCCTGCAGTTCTAATGAGTGCTGTGCTGAAATCTGTTCTTTAAATTTCTCAAAACTATGTTTCCCTTGGAAAAGAGACTTCGGTTTTTCTGCCAGATTCCCAGGGCATGTCACCACTATGAGATGGCCATGGGTGGAACATGCATCCCCCCCCACTGGAGAATGCAGACCATGAGTGAGATGGCTTTTTCCTTCCCTTAAACATAACTCCAGCACACTCCACGGCATCCCCAGGTGCCTGCCCTTCCTGGGTTTTTTGGGGGGGGGACACCTATGGGAGGAGGTAGCCTTGTGGTGTCTTCCCCCTGGGCTTTGTTGGAAGTGTAGAAAGTCAGGGAGGCTGCAGAGTGCAGGTAGTTGGTGAGATGGTGATGTGTTGAATGAAAGAGCAAATACTCTCAAAATAGCCCTCAAAAATAAAGCGCATCAAAAACCCTGCACTGAAATTTTCTCTTCCCCTTGATCATTTTTAAACAAAAGTTCTTTCCCCACTAACTGATGGAGAATGGTTAGGACAAAAACACGGGAGAAATACTTTTCATTGCGACTTTTCATTGGTGGTGGTGGGGGGTGGAATATAATTCAGCTACTAAAAATTTGGGAATGACACACATGTAATCCAACATGACGAACTTAGGATAACATGAGCAAAGAAAACATTAGAGGGGCTAAAGAGCATTTGGCTCAGATTATCAGACATATATTTACACACAGTTTCTTCTGTCCTCCCCATCTCTTTTGATGTAAGGAGAAATTAGCAGACTTCCTCAGGTATTAAGGCATTTCCCAGGAGCTCAAAACACTTTCACATACAAACCTCAAAAAATGGGTCTCATTGCCACTGCATTCTCACCTCTACAGATACTTAAGGGTTTTAAAAATCAACATACTCCAGACTTCGGATCCTGTTCCAAACATGACTGTGTTGTGCAAATCAGTGGCAACATTACCACTGGAAAACACAAATGGAAAGGTACAAACCCTACTTCCCCAAGGCCTGTCAGAATAAAACAGTATTCACCTGCTGGCAGAAGAACAACAAGGAGGGAGGAGGAAGTCCAGGTTCCTCCCCAGCAAGGAAGTTTCCAGAGCCTTGGAGCAGCCACTGAGAAGGCCCTCTCCCAACTTCTATGTCCCCAACAAGTGTGCTTGTGAGGGTGGCAGGACTGAGAGAAGGGTGTCTCCCAATGGTCTCAGAGCCCAGGCAGGAGAATGCAGTCCTATGCCACACACCTCTTTTACATATGGTATGAATGTGGCCAGATCCTCCATGAATTTTTTCAATCCATAATTGAGGGCTTAGTGTCTAAAGACTAAGATCAGGCCAATGGCTGATCTAGTCCATCATCCTGTTCTCACAGTGGTCAACCAGATGTCCCAATGGGAAGCCCAAAAGCAGGACCTGAGCCCAAGAGCCCTCTCCCCTCCTGTGGTTGCCAGCAACTGGTATTCAGAAGCATGGCCGCCTCTGACCCTGGAGGCAGGACACAGCCATTAGGGCTAGAAGCCATTGGTAGCCTTTTCCTTCATTTATTACTCCAACCTTTCAACACCATTTAGGTTGGTGGCCATCAATGCCTCCTGTGGGAGAGAGTTCCACAGTTAAACTATACGCTGCATGAATTTTCCAACATTCAGCTTCGTTGGATGTCTAGCCTGCAGTGGAGAATCTGGGGTTTCCGTGGTTGCAACAAGCAGCCTATCAGGTTTTCGGTGGTGACTGTACTTCTACCTGACTTCCAGCATGCATTGGGATGGCTCAAGCCCGACCCGTATTGGTTTTTCTTCCGGGAGGGCTCTGCAACCATGAGAAGCCAGTATCACACTTCATCCTAGGGGGCTGATACGAATGAACAAGGAAAACCTGTCACGACAGGCAGGCCGACAGGTTGTCCGGGATCGTTACGGCCTTTTAATTACATTCAACTGCAGTTTAATGGGCTCTAGGCAAGTTGGAAATGATGTAATGGACTACATGTGGGGAGGGGAGCTTTGGCTGAAAAGCAGAGAAGTGAGTTGGAGGTGTTTTGGGCTGTTGATGTGTGTTTCTTAAGAGCAGTAAGAAAATATAAGGAGAAGAACAAAGAGAATTGGTTCTCTTTCCTGACATTCGTGATGTTAAATTTATCACTCGCCCTATTCAGGCAGATACTGACAGCCTTAGCAAAACAAAAACCCCACATAAACAAATTAAAAACACCCAAGAGACAGGCAAAAATATGCAACTGCAAAATGGAAGTGGATAGACACACTCTGTCCTCTAGGCCTATGCTGTCCTCCTTCCCTCTTTCTCTCCCTCTTTGTAATGCATGTTGGCTGCAAAACGGCATTGCAAAATTCAGAGAAGTGTGAATCGCTGGGTTTTTCAGCTCACATACTGTTTTGGAAAGCGCAAACTGGGAAGGCCAATCTTTAAATGAAAACCGAATCAAACTTATTCCCCACCCCCCATTCCTATCCTGGAACCAACATGAAAGTGGGCATCACATCTGATGCGAGCACAGAAGTTAAGAAATATAAAAAGAGCCTGCTAGATCATATCAGTGCCCATCTAGTCCAGCCTCCTGTTCTCACAGTGGCAGACCAGATACCTCAATGGGAAACCTGCAAGCAGGACCTGAGCACAGGAGCACTCTCCCATCGTTCAGTTCCCAGCAACTGGAATTCAGAAGCATTACTGCTTCCAAATATGAGTAGCCATTGATAGCCTTATTCTCCTTTGGGTTGGTG